CTGCTGCTGCTGCTGCTGCTGCTGCTGCTGCTGCTGCTGCTGCTGCTACTACTACTACTACAACTACTACTACTAACAAATTTCATAGTTAAACCCCAATGTACCCTCTTTCCCACATAGTTCTTGCTTGATCTGAGGAAAAACCTGTGGTGAGAAAACCATTCAAGTACATAGGGAAAACAAAAGTCCCCAAAGACTTGATTCTGTTTTGTCAGGTGTGTATCAAATGGCAAGTCTGCAATAGCCAGATACTCCCTAAGATATATAAACCTCTGTTGTTGGGGATCCCTCTATAAACACTAATCACTTGCTGGGAGTCAGACAATTCCAAGTGCACAAGAACCCCGTGTTTCAGTGTGAAATGATTACTACCTTGGCTAGTTTCATATGGTTCAGCTTTTCTTTTCCGATTTCGCTGGTCATTCTGCTTTTTCTCAGGAGTCTGAAATACCACATACATCACAATTAGAATGTTGGCAAATTTTCACATTAGGATAACAGAGTATATACAAAACTGTCAAAGATACAAAAGAGATATGACTGGCACAGACAAATCTTGAAGCAATGGAACAGAAGCTCTTGGAACAGAGAAACAGACAAAGTATGGGGCCTTTAGTCAAACCTAAACAACTCTTGAAAAATTATTTAAAATATCAGCTTTTCAATGTAATCAATAATAATTTAGAATTGTCACAAAATTTAAATAAGATATTTTGGCAGTACCATAACCCACGCTTGTGATCCCACAAGCAGGAAACAGTGGCAAGATCTCAAATTCAAGGTCTGTGTGAGTACACAAAAGACCCATCTCAAACTGGGTGGTTTGATCCTTTAATCCCAGCACTCAGGAGGTAGAGGCAGACAGATCTCTGTGAGTCCGAAGCCAGCCTGGTTTAGCTAGTTCCAGGACAGGCTCCAAAGCTACAGCGAAAAATAAAACAAAAAACAAACAAACAAAAAAAAAAAAAGAAAAAAAGAAAAAAAGACCTGTCTCAAACAAACAACAAAAAAGATTTTTAAAGGGCACATGTCAACCCATAGAACTACAAATCTCTCACCTTTATTGAAAAACTAAGCCCTCCTAACCAACTCTCCCCCCCCAAAAAAAAACAGAAGTAAAATGGACAAAGACAGGACCTATGTATGGTTATGATAATAAACTTGTAACAGGGCCACATCAAAGCTGCACCAAGACAAAAGCACACAACTCCACTGACATGCCTGGATTTATATGTGCTCCCCGAGTTCAGACTAAAGGTATAAAACTGAGAACAGCGTTGTTTAGGTACGGCTCCTTACCTCTACTTCTTTATCACTCAAGGACCCCACGCTGCATAAACTCTGGTTGGAAGACTCACTATTGAGTGGCCCCTGGAAGGAAAATGATTTTTAAATCGTCAGAAGTTTTCATTTAAGATGACAGCAAAAGTATGCAAGAGGCCTGTTGATTATAACATATAAGTCAGATTAGGAGTCAAGAGGCAGCTTTACAACCCCGCCAAGCCAAGATGAAAGGGACTCAACTACAGCACTGTGTCCTCCATGTTCGAACTCTCTACTTACTGATAACTTCATGTGCCTTATACATGTACAGGTCTTCCCTTCAAGAGCATGCTCATGTGTTAAAGTCATTCTTTAAGAACAATGAACATGGGGCTGGAGAGATGGCTCAGTGGTTAAGAGCATTGCCTGCTCTTCCAAAGGTCCTGAGTTCAATTCCCAGCAACCACATGGTGGTTCACAACGATCTGTAATGGGGTCTGGTGCCCTCTTCTGGCCTGAAGGCACACACACAGACAGAGTATTGTATACATAATAAATAAATAAATAAATATTTTTTAAAAAAGAGTTAATAAGAAGCCTGAGCTAATGGGCCAATCAATTTATAACTAATGTAGGCCTCTGTGTGATTTCTTTGGGACTTAATGATTGCAGGAACTGGGCAGGACAGAAAACCCCAGTTAACAATTTAAAATATAAATAAGTGCTAGGCGTGGTAGTAAACACCTTTAATCCCAGCACTTGAAAGGCAGAGGCGGGCAGACTTGTCTATGTAGAGAGTTCCAAGCCAGCCAGGCTAGAAGAGAGTGAGACTCTGTCTCAAAACAAACAAATGGGTGGTGGTTGTGCACATGCCTTGGATTCTAGTAACGGGAGGAAGAGGCAGAGAAGTCTCTGTGAGTTTGAAGCCAGCCTGATCTACAGAGTGAGTTCCAGGACAGTCAGGGCTATTACATAGTAACCTTGTCTCAAAAAACAAAAACAAAAGTCTGGAGAGATGGTTCAGCAGTTAATAGCACTGGTTGCTCTTCCATAAGTCCTTAGTTCAATTTCCAGCAACCATCTGGTGTCCTCTTCGGGCCTACAGGCACACATGCAGGCAGAACACTGTATACATAAATAAATCTTTTAAAAAAATTATTTAAAAAAAAGAAAAACAAACTTCTCTCTGCCCTCCCCATACGATTTTGGGTCAGAAGACTTAATTAATATTGCTATGATGTCAACATCTACCTCTAACTGATTCACCAATTCTGAGTCCCTCCCACCTAATATTCTACTAACTTCCTTATATTAATAATCTGAGGGCAGCAACGTGGCTCAGTGAGTAAAATCCTTGCTGCACAAGCCCGACAACATAAGTTCAATGCCCAGAGTGCAGGACAGAAAGAGGAAATGAGTCCTGGAGGTTGTCTTCTGAATCCCACACACATGCATGTCCATACTCATCATGATCACGTTCTCACACAGAGATGATTAAGTTGATTATAAAATGTGTATGGAGGGCTTAGCAGTAAAGGTTGCAGCCCTACATTCAACTTCCAGAACTTGATGTAAATGAAACAATACACACATGTTTCACATGAGATCACAAGGGGCCAGACTAGACAAAACAATCTGTGAAGGAACACAGTAAGAGGGATCACATTCCCTGACACCAAGACTTTCCACAAAGCAATGGTAGCAACACGGTAGTACCAGTGTTAGCAGATCAGTGGGTGGAACTGAAGACTCTGGGAAACAACTGTAACTATAACCAATCATTTTTAAGAAAGGTGTTATAACCATTCAATGAAGAAAAGTCTTTTTCAGCTAAAAGTGCCAGGAAGTTGGCTAGGTGAGGGCCGACCAGTTGAACTGGGCCCTGCATGTCACATGTTAGGCAAGTGCTTTAAAACTGAACCACACCCCCAGCATGACATACCTTTAAAATAACTAGTGTAAAATCAATTTCCTCCAGGACTGCAATAAAACCATATCTACTTCATCACCAACTAGCCCTCATTTTCTAAAGGAAATGGTAAAGCCAGGTGCAGCGACTCCTGCAATCTCAATCTCAAGAAGCAGCCATAGAAGAGCAATGAGTATAAGATGAGCTTGGATTACAATGACTTATAACTAATCTAGGCTTGACTGCACAGCAAGATCTTCAAGGTAGGTGGGAACAGATAGGTTAAAAAAAAAGACAGAAGGGAAGGAAGAAAGGAAGTGTTGTGGTCTGAATAAGAAGCAAAGCTTCAGGACCTCCATGACACAGGACAACAACAGGATAGCTGAGAGGAGTCCCAGTGAGGCCTGAAACCATATCGATGACTCACTACAATACACACTTGCAAGTAAAGACATATGGACTAAAGGGTGCACTGTGTAACTCACTGTGTCACAGTACAGCTTCTAAGACAAGACAAGATTTTGTCTTGTTTTAGAGGGGAGTTGCAAGGGCAGAAGGCAGATATGGAGGGATGGGGAGATAAGTGGGATTGGGATGCAGGATGTGAAAATTCACAAAGAATCAATAAAAAGTTAAAGAAAAAAAAAAGAATGGCCCCCCACACACACACACACGGACTCATTATTTGACTGCCTAGTCACCAAAGAGTGGTGCTAATTGAAAGGATTAAAAGGACTAGGAGGTGTGGTCTTATTGGAGGAAGTGTGTCATTGGGGGTGGGCTTTTAAAAGCTTTATGCCAAGCCCAGTACCTCACTCTCTGCTTGCTGATCAAGATGCAACTCTTACCTGCTGCTGTTCCAGCACCATGCCGTCACCATTCTCCCCACCATCATGATAATGAACAGACCCTCTAAAACTGTAAGCAAGCCCCCAACTAAATGCTTTCTTATAGAGTTCATGTGGTTATGGTGTCTCTTCCCAGCAATAGAACACTGACTATGATTGGGGGAAGTGTGGGGAGGAGGGAAGGGGGAACGGTCCGGGGACACGACACTACACAACAATGGCAAAAGTGGTGAATACAGATGAGAGGACTAAAAAACTGTTTTCGGCAATAACAACGAAAATACTGTAGCTATATAGTGGCAGACACTGTAGTGTTTGAAATAACACTGAAGAGGGACAAGAAGACTTAATGTCCCTTAGGCCTGTGTATATAACCAAAAGTTTAAAAAGATTAAGAATTAGTTAATCGGGGCTGGAGAGAAGGCTCAGCAGTTGAAAGCATTGCCTACTCTTCCCAAGGTCCTGAGTTCAATTCCCAGCAACGACATGGTGGTTCACAACCATCTGTAATGAGGTCTGGTGCCCTCTTCTGGCCTGCAGGCATACACACAGACAGAATATTGTATACATAATAAATAAATTTTTAAAAAAATTAAAAAAAGAATTAGTTAATTATTTTCTCATCCTCTTCTCAAGTACATCATCTCGTATTATTATAAAGTCACCAGATTAGATTTAATTAACAAGGACCACTGAGAAACACTTCCTGTTCTAAAGCAGCTTACTGTCTAGTAAAAACTAACCAAAGGCTTATAGGCAAAACATATGTGCTAAGTTTTAAAAGTGCCTCTGTCATTAAAACAAACAGTAACAAAAAAGAAAACTGAACTAGATTAAAGGAGTCAAAAGGCAAGCTAAGTTTCAATGCATGGACTTTGTTTTGACCTTGTACAACATTTGCTTAGGCTACACAAAACCCAGAGTCTAGTCCCCTGTACTGTCTCACCTCCACAAAAGCAAAATTAAACAGTTATAAATGACATTATTAGGGTTGGAGAGATGGCTCAGCAGTTACAAGCCCTTGCTGCTCTTATTGAGGACCCAGCTCTATAATAGATGGCTCACAATCTCCTGTAACTTCAGTTCCAGGGAATCTGATGCTCTCTTCTGCCCTCTGCAGACACTGCAGAGTGCACAGACATACATGCAGGCAAAGGCACATAAAATAAAAATGAAGGGGAAAACAAGCAACATTATTGAGGACCAGTGAGATAGCCTAATGGGCTAAGGGACCTGTTGTGCAGGCAAGGTGATCTGACTTGGATCCCTCAAACCCACATGTAACGTAAAAAAAACTGACTCCAGAGTTGTCCCCTGACCTATACACAGCAAAACCACAAACTATATATGGACTGTATACAAAGAGATTGCCAGTAAACTTTGTGATGGAAAGAACAGAAAATAAGCATGAATGTTCAATGATACCTAAAGATGAATGCTCTGGAAGCTATCCATCCTGAAATATTACTTAGGTACAGTACACCCTCCTATTAAAAGTGTATTCCTGCCAATGAAGAAACGGCTTCATGGTTAAGAGTACTTGTTATTCTTGCAGAGGACCCAACTTCGATTCCCAGTGCCCACATGGTATTTCACAGCTATCCATAAATCCAATCTGGGGAATCCAATAGACACATATCAGGTGCTTACACTGAACCCTGGACTTTGTACATGTTAGGCAAGCATCTACCAAGTGAGCTACAACCCCAGTGCTTAGTCTACAAAATAAAAAAAAGGGGGGGTGAGTATTGTGGGAATTCTTTCAGCCAATAGCCTTTTGCGTACAGGCTGATTAGGGCGTGGTCTGAGGTACTATGTATGGATTGTTAAGCGCAGATGGGACACGTGTTGTCTAGTCTTGGGTGATGGTTGGAGTTCTGTTCACACCTTCCAGCACCCACAGAGCTCTACCCTTATTGTGAGTTTTTCCCCAAATAAATATTTATTATCCTTTATTCCGGGGTCTCATGTACATCCTTCATTACACCTAAGTTTTGGCACCCAGCGTGGCCAGAACCCAAACTTAACCTCCTGGTCCCTCAACAATTCCACCTCATATGCCATTGAGCCAATAAATACCACCCAAAGATCAGTTTTGGACTACCAACTGCTCAAGATGATTCCAACTTGGCTAGCTGAGATGGTCCACCTTCTTACAAACTCCAGCCAGAACTTCAAATAAGAACTTCAGAAAAACCCAACCCACTACTCAGAGACTGTCTACAATTGTTACAAACAGTACTCTTTTTAGAACTATTAGTTATAGACAATTTACATTGGTATAGATTCTTGTACACTGATACATATGTACAATTATCTTTTTAGTCCTTTCTAAGATAATTCACATATCG